AGTGAGAAAAATAGTAGAAAAGTAGAAATTTTGAGGTAGAAATACAGACTGATTGGTATATATATATATATATATATATATATGTATATATAATCTATCTTTCTGTGTCTGTCTGTCTGTCTATCTCGATCTATCTCTCTGTCTGTCTCTGTCTGTCTGTATCTATCTGTCTGTCTGTCAACATATCGCTTCTATATGCTTCTAGAAAATCATTTTGATGTTGAATGTTGAAATTGTTTAGATTTTTACATTTTGAAAACAGTTGTGCTGTTATGTTAATATGTTATGTGTGTGTGTGTGTGTGTGTGTGTGTGTGTGTGTGTGGTTTATATAGCCAATGTAATTAAATGGAAAACTATTTTAAATTAGTTATTTTAAATTTCACTTAATTTTGTGTGAGTGTGTGTGTGTGGTTTATATAGCCAATGTAATTAAATGGAAAACTATTTTAAATTAGTTATTTTAAATTTCACTTAATTTAGCTTAATTTGTTTTCTATCTCTTTTTCTCTATATATGCACACTCTAAATGTAAATATGCATGAAACAATATAGGTCCAAAGCAAGTTTCCTGATCATTCATTGGGCTTGTTTTCCTAAAGACACCACTAGTTGGTAGTGTAGTCATTTTTCTATTTCAGTATGTGCTTCACTGTATGTAGAGATATATATATAGTTTAGCACATCTTGAAATAGTAGGCCTACAGAATAAACCTACTGTTGATCTTTTTGTGCAGTGGTATTTATATGGCACTTCCTCCCCTGTTCCATTGTTAGTAAATGCTAAGTTCTATAAATACCTCTTCACAAAACAGAAGATGTAGATTCATATAAAATAAAATGTGCAATTGTGTAATTGCACACATGTAAACTGTATTGAATTGCCTCCTGATCACCGTCTTCAGCCGTTCCTAGATTACTACACACAGGCAGAGCGCTCCTTTCCTGCGCTCATTCACATAAGGTCTATTTTCAGATCAGAAATAAGCTCTAAAAATAACTCCCTGAGTAAGTGTGACATAACTCAAAGAATGTGTTCATATCGCGTGTCCCCTGACAGGAGAGAGTGGGATCAGTTCCTGGTTTCTGCTGAACACCCTGACGGTACCTTGGTTCATCTGGGGAAAACATGTTTGGCTGGGACAGTGTGTGACCAGATTTAATTATACAAGTTTGGGTGAATCTCGCAGAAACATTTCACCCCAAAACCAAAGAAATTACACTTTTTATAAGTTTTTTTTTATATATAGGGTCATTTCATTTTTTTTTAATTGTGACATTATTTTTATGATTGTTAAGTGCATCTTACACAAATTCTTATTACCATAATTTGCTTGGATTTTTAAAAAATGTAATTGTCATTTTTCCCAGTGGTGGTTGTTATTAGATTCTTATTGTTGCAATACTGACAATAATACTGAAATTAGTATACTAATACTAAAATTAGAAATATATTTAGTTATTTATACATTTTTTTAAATTTATATCTTCTCAAAATCAATAAAGCAAATACTACTAAGATGTATAAATGTTACAATTTATATATATATATATATATATTGTGTCTATGTGTGTGTGTATGTATATACAGTGGGTACGGAAAGTATTCAGACCCCCTTCAATTTTTCACTCTTTGTTATATTGCAGCCATTTGCTAAAATCATTTAAGTTA